TTTTAGAATTTTGGAGCAAATTGTTCAATATTTGCACAAATCACAAAATAACACAACCAATAGTATGAGTATAGTACTCATGTGCAAACTTACAACTGAATCAGGCAATATATCAGTGAGGTAACAGCATGAACATGAATAAAAACAAAATGGCCACCAGTTAGCCATTTCTTTTCAAAACTTGAAAAAAATATGATGTGCACCTGTTACTCAATATGCATGATCAGGATACAAAGTTTGAATGAAATCACATTCTGAGTACCTGTTCCTGACACGTTTGGGTATCTGAATTTAGCAATTTTGGAACCAAAATGGCCACCAATATACTGTGAAATAATTTATTTTCACTGGAATTAATTTTCCCTGAAAAGACATTTTGGGTATTTTGTATGGAATTTATTTTTTACTGATTTTTGGTGAGTTGAATGTAAAATCTAGGAAAAGGGGTAAATTCGCTGGATTTTATTTTTACTGAATCACTCCTTCGGCGAAAATAAATTCAAGGTGAAAATAAAGTATTTTACAGTAAGCAACAATGTACAGGTCTCATACTACTGTACAATTAAATTCCCATAGACAACACTGGTCTCAAATTGCAACTCCCAGTAGACTTCAATGTACAGGGTTCATACTGCAATTACAATCCATATAGACAACTATGTACAGGTCCTATATTATAAATAAACTCCCCATAACCAACAATACTACAATTAACCCCTCTCCCCCATAGACAAAAAATGTACAAGTTTCATACTACAATTAAACTCCCCATAGGTGACAATGTACAGTTTCATACTATAATTAATAAACTCCCATATACAACAATGTACAGGTTTCATACTACAATTAAATTCCCCATAGACAACAATGTACAGTCTCATACTACAATTAATAAACTCCCATATACAACAATGTACAGGTTTCATACTACAATTAAACTCCCCATAGGTGACAATGCACAGTCTCATAATACAATTAAACTCCCCATAGACAACAATGTACAGGTCTCATACTACATTTAAACTCCCCATAGATGACAATGTACAGGTCTAATACTACAATTAAACTCCCCAATAAATGACAATGTACAGGTCTAATACTACAATTAAACTCCCCATAGACAACAATGTACAGGTCTCATACTACATTTAAACTCCCCATAGGTGACAATGTACAGTCTCATGCATGTACTACAATTAAACTCCCCATAGACAACAATGTACAGTCTCATACTACAATTAATAAACTCCCATATACAACAATGTACAGGTTTCAAATTATATTTAAACTCCCCACTGACACAACAATTTACAGGTCTAATACTAGAATTAAACTCCACATAGAGGACAATGTAATGATTTCATACTACAATTAAACTCCCTTTAGACAACAATATCAAACTACAATGTACAAACTTAAAAAGCAGGACTATTTCACGCATAGACAAAGTAATATTTGCTTAATTTTTTAAATCAAACAGTGAACAACATCACAGATGTTGAAAATCCTCCCAAAATGATTCAACTACACTAGTACTGGCAATGTTGGACTCCAAATGCACAAGTCTACCATTTTAAAAACAAGCTGGATTCTGCTAAAATTCTACTCACAAATCTAAAGCTAGCTTATTCTAGTATTACATGCCATCCTGTGCAAAAAGATGTTTTCAAAATAGAGGGCCATCACATTCAGGCTTACATGACCCAACATGTTGAACCCAATTCTAATCATGATGGGGAATGTTACCTCTTATAATAATAAAGTCATACGAATGAAAAACACACACACATGTAGCAAACATTACCTTAAGGACATATTTAGTATAGATGTGAGTAATGCACACCATCTTTCAACACGATAATCCCATGTTACTCTATCCAATAATCTGCAATCAAAAACAAATTCATCTGTCACATTGTTATTTATTTATTTACTTTATTCTGCATGCAGCCATGATAATACAATCTTATCCAATATACCGACGTCACTGTCTTCAGTAGAGCATAATCTATTGTGAAAATATTGTGAATGCTATAAAGCTACTGCCAGTAGGAAAATCTATTCCAACAACATCAATATAATTATTATCAAAATAATATTTGGATAAGGAATTTAAGGATAATGCTCAATATATAAGGCAGCTGTTACCGTGGTAGTTTTTGTACCAATACTGACTTACGTTAATGCTTTGTTATAATCCTTGGCATGATAATACTCTTCTCCCATTTGAACCACTGTAAACAAAGTATAATACAATGTATAGTGCACAGAGGTTAACAAAACAAAGATGAAACATGTATAACGCCCTCAAACTGATACTATGAAGAATCTTTCTTTCTTTTTTTATTTGAGATGCAGGGATTTGTTCATTTAAAATGAATAATAATTCTTGCACCAAATTCTCAAAAAAATTATTAAATGTATGCTAATAATTCAAAATTTTAATCCATTAATTCACACTCTAACATTTAAATGCATAAAAAATAAAGAAAATAATTATCAAGCAATTTGTTTTTAAAACAAGCATTGACAATGCTCAGGCCTTTGTTCTCTATATACTGCCAAATTCACTACTAGCAGCAATCCAGTAGTGTGGGTGTACAATTGACTAAATAGTGCTGTGATGCAATCAGTCATTGCTGGCTATGAACTGTAATGGGCTGAGCATATTTGATTGAATCACTAAAATGCAATGTGCAACCAAAATATAGTATGTAGAATTATTGTTTGTTTGAACGAAATCATGCAAGCCATCTCAGAAAACAGTTTTTTGGATTTTAGACAAAATGACTGTCAATCAAAATTTGATCAAGTCACATGATATAACACAATCTATGGTATCAATATTAGTGACAAATCGGTAGTGACATGAATTAGGGTATATGATGTGCACCTGTAACTCAATATGTATTTCAGGTTTTTAGACAAAATGGCTGTAAATTCTAAACACAAAATAACACAACCTACAGTATTACCTAAGAATGTAGTACTTGTATGCAAACTTTTAACTGAATATACCGGATTCTGCCGTAAATTCGCTCTGTGCCGTTAAACTGCAGTTTGGATTTAAAAAAAAATAAAATGGGACCCTTTTTGAAGGTGTTTTTGTAATCTTTCCTGATGCCTAAAAGTTTCACCATAGTTATTGATGCCTATTCAAGAATATGGTGTTTATTGTGACTAGCATGAATGGGTTAAGCTTCATTTCGAAAATGAGCTGTTATCACTGTAAACAATGTTAATTCATTCTTCAAATGCTCAGTTTATCTTTTGCAAACAACTACATGTAATTTTTTTTATTTAAAAACAAATCATGATGCTTTCCCATCAAAATCCAAGCCAAAAGATCGTACAACAACATCTGCAAATCTCTTCCATGCTGCGTTCAATAACATTAACATATTTAAACAAGCTATGGTAATTTGAACATGTTGGCATCATTCATCATTTTGATTGGTAAATTAGCAATTTGACCTGTCAGGTCAAAGAACACCGTCTCAGGTCAAAACATGGCAGATAGTCATTTCTACAGCATCGAGCGTATAAAAAAATGAGACTGGAATCATTCGCTTACGATGAAAGTTTATTTTTTGCCTGTTATTATAGGTAATAGTCAACAATTGTGAAACGCAGCATGACCAGATTGCGCTACCGCGATCATTTGCTACTAAGCAATGCAGTTGTGTTTAGAATACACATGTATACTGTCGTTACTAATAAAATGAAAAAAAAAATTGTATTTGGAGCACAAGGTTCGTTAGTGTGATTTTTTGAAGAAAGATGCACTGGGTGACATCGTAATGAAATTTTAGGCGATCTGTTTTAATCCAGCAAAGAAAAATGTATAAAATTTTAGATTAGCTTCTGCAATAGTTTCTTTCGTTTTGGGTGGTCCAATCGCCTGCATTGAAAGTCGGCATAGGTGGATTTTTCAATGAAAATATAAGTTCCCCAAGATTTTTCTGATGGGTGAATTTACGACAGAATCTGTTATTAGTGAGGAATCATCATGGCTATGTATAAAAACATAATGGCCACCAGTCGGCCATTTTGGTTCACATCTTAAAGAAAATAAGAGGTGCACCTATAACCCAATATGTATGATCATAATACAATGTTGGTCTGTTAAGCTCTGAGAAACGATCCAGGACAAGTTCAAATGGCAATGAAACAGGAAATAAAAACATGCAAAACTTGACATGTTTGATAAATTATTTTAGAAATTACATTCACCATCATTTGCCAAGTACATCTCTGGTGATCAGAGACAATTTTTACATAAATTTAACTACAGGCATATTTTAAAGCAGTCAATGTGGATGGAATAAGAAAGCATCTCCTTCAGCTTGAATGACTTCGGTGCCATATTGTTGGAAGTTGATGTGGTAGCAATGAATTTTCAACTTCTTTGATTAGTCAAGCCCTGTCAGTTGAATATTCTGGGTTGGTATTCCATAAATTTATCAATGTTTTAGTACAAGATTGCTACTGAAACTGATGTACTTACTTAGATATCTCTTCATTCTTGCTGACTTGTATTTTTTGAATTGGGCAACAGCACTACTGAGGAGAGGAATGATGATCCACTGTAACAAACAAACAAACAAACAAACAATGATTCAAGAGTTAAGTAACTGTGTACAACAGAAGCAGTGAGAGAATGGGCCATGGTGAAGATCAATCTTTTTCACCATTTTGTAAAGCCTATTTAAAGTTAAAGCGCTATATTTTTATCGAAATGTTTTTTTTTTTATAACGTTTGGTTAAAATGTAAAAAAATAACCTATACCTCTTCCCTCCTCATTTTAGACAAATGTAGAAATTGTTGCTGAAAAAAATTGTCTCTTTGCTAATAAAACAGGATGCATCCTCATCAAAATGTAATCTTGGTATACAGGGGCTATAATACACATAATTGTGTACAAAGGGTATTTATTTATAATATGGCTGAAAAGGTAATTTACTGGTAAATTACCCAGCCTACTGCAAGTCTCAATCATCTATTGAATACTGCCCTCTAGTGGCAATGAATACAAAACATTGAATCATATGTTAGTAGATATAAAAGCAATAAATGAGAGTGAATCTTACCGAATGATCAACTTGTAACTCTTTATACTGTAAAGCTTGAATTCCATCTTTCTCCTTAGCAGGGTCAGGAGGGTCAATGCTTTGGTGACCTTGTCGCCATGGACGCTGACCATAATACTCTAGCTTGTCAGCATCTTCTAATGGATTCGGGTCAGGCATAACTGTTGCTGACTGTGAAATGAAACACAGGGTGTGTCAAGTAGATCATGTGTCAAACACAGCAGCACATAGCATTGTGAAATAGACGTAAAACACAGCACATAACATTGTCCAAAATGTCCAAACGGAAAACATGAAGTGTTAGAACAATTTGAAGATTTACCATACTCGTCAAACGGTTAACCATGCTAAGTGCTCCCCTCCCCCACTCTTGGGGCATTTCTATTTTCAGGTTTATGTTCTGCTAAATGCCAACTCCTTCCTAAATGCTCCAAATTTGAATGTCTAGTCATAAAACCTGGTCTTTGAGCATTGTTTGATTTTTCCGAATATTGGTACCGATAATCAAATTTAAACAACAAAGCTAATGATGAATCTCTTAAATGTTTTCCCTTATTCTCTAATAATTTTACACTGTAAATTCTGGTATGTGAATAATATTGTAATAAAACATGCATATTTTTTGTGTTCATTTCTGTTTTGACATTGTAAAAATGTTGTGCAAATCAATGGCAATGCAGCTCATTTCGCAATTTTAATTCTACCAAAAAAGATGTACTATTTCCTCTAATCTGACACATGGTGAACGAAAATTGTCTTTTAACCAATTTTTTAGTGGGGTGTTCGACTAAGCATCCGCACCCCCCCCCCCCCTCCCCGCTAAAAAAGCATGATTTTGTAAGTTGAGTACACTATCCTACATTCTAAATGTTGGAGTAAATGATATATAATGTCCCCTATTGGTATGCTCTGTTACCGGTAGAAGCAAATGTGCTTTACGTAGTGTATAAAACACATTCAACGATCTAGCATACAATAAATGCAATTTTTGTTTTTTTGTGCACTTCTAATAGAGCAAATATAGTAGTCATTTTCATATAGGCATGTGTTGGCATGACAACTGCAATGCTTGGTAAATTAGTTTTGCCAAATTAGCCCAAAATCTTCAAACGTTCCTGGAAATAACAAGAAACTTACATGACAGAGTCCTCTACATAGGTGTTTTCTGTTGACAGCATGGTAAGCTGCTTGCTGATAATAAAAACCAGGATGCTGAGTCTGTATTGCATTTAAACCAGCTCTAATGGCCTCATCAAATAAATCACCAAAAATCTGAAATCTGCAAAATGAATAAACTTAGGGTACTTTATCAAATTAAATGTGCTATCCTGGCATCAACTGGGCAAATACTGTAAACCAAGCAAGGCAAAATTTTGCAAAAATCACCAACACTTTTTGTCATGAATAAATCTTGCCTACTGGCTTTGGGTAGGGTATGGGTGATAGCAACCTCAAGACCTCAAGTGGGAGTTGAAATCAGAAAATATTGATCAAATTGTCCAATGTAACAATCACCATGCTCCTATTGACGAATAGAGGGCGCTACACAGAGAATTTGTATAATTTATGTCATTGAAAATTAAATTATTAAATGCAAAGCTAAAATTATTTTCACATGCATCAACTTCCAGATTATTTTGTATATCATAGCATCCATCATTTGAATAAAAAGACGAGATAAAAAAATTCTTGTTTATATATAATATGCCAATAAAACACTCAAAGGCAATGTCTGAAAACAAACAAAATAATTTTAAGAACATGCACTTGAGGGCAGTATTACAGTTGCAGTGTAAATACTTGTGACTTACTGTTTGCACATCCAGGCGGAATGTTCAAATGCTAATTCAGAACATCCAGTTTTATTTTTATAGAAGTCCACATGTTTTCGAAACTGAGATATGGCATCCAATGGAGCATTGTGGTGAAATGACAATTTACAAATCTGTAACAAACAAGACAAAAGCAAAATCGTTTATTATTTTTTCAATGGAAGAACAAATCTGAAAATATGACTAATGTACTGGTAAAATACTGGTTAGACCAGGGTTAAGTGCATCAGAATCTTCTGTAATAGTATTATATGCAGACGACATGTGACAGGAAGGAAACTATCATTCTCTTATTATTTTTCATTCACAATTTTATAGTTTTTTCCTGGCTGTATTGAATTGGCATTACTCCTTAGGAAAATTGCATTTTATCAATTTCTTTTATCATATTACAATAAGACCAGTAGAGTATAACCACAGTGAAATACTGCACAGAAACACACAGATATTATCACTTTAAATGTATAACATTATAGTGTAAATATTTTTTCATAGTTCATACACTATACATACAAAATACTGTTGAATTTACATAACTAGAAATGTTTGCTATTCCTTGATTTTAAAGCATTTACAAAAACAAATTTTCACTATAAATCCCTGACTTAAGGACACCAGTGTTTTCTTGCCTTGTGAAGTAAAGAAAATGTGTCCTCTTGTGAAATTAGTGATTTACATATTATAATTATAATAAAATATTTTTCTGTGTTCATGGCACTTTTTATTTCTGATAATGACATGGTGCATATATTGAACTAATAAAATGAAGATTCATTGCTGACCAATCACAATGGTGTCTAAAATTTACCTTGTAGTTGATGAAACCCGATATTGACTTGATTTCCAGCATGTTAGTGTCATGTGCTCGTAGTTCACTTACATAGGCATAGGCTACCTTGTACTGTCTGAATAAACAATACAAGAAACAATTACATCACAAAACAGAATATATGAATGGCAGAGTCATTCATTATGTTTTTTTCAACTCTATAATGTTTATTATTACATATGTACTGCAGTTTATTTTGATTCGTCCCTGAAATCAAAATTGGTATTTCCACACCTCATATGCAAATGAGGTCTGAGACCAAGCAAAGTAGTCCCTTCAGGAGTACCGTTTTTCAAAACATGGCAGAAATAAACAATATTAAGAAGTACGATATTTTTCTCTTGGGGTACATGAATAAACTTGCCGAGTGAAATGAAATTTGAACAACAGTAATGGTACCTTTAGCCAGCCACTTATTTTGACAAAAACTAATTTGCATATCACCCATGCAATAATGTTTTCGGTATTTTCACGGTCAATATGCAAATGAACATGGTATTTCCATCGGCTACCGAACTATTTTTATTTTGTGAACACATTTTCGTCTGCTATTTTTGTCCGGTTCATATCGTCAGGCAACATTTTTGGCATGTCAGGTGTACATCACATAGAATACTACGATTAGGAGAACTTAATGTATGTTGACCACCTGGAAACTGAGTTTTATAAACCTTGAAGGGCTCTCGGAAGATCCACCAGCAGTGAAATCAGCGATTACTATGCAGCCGCAACTATCAACATCGAGATACCAGGTTTCTGCTGGCGACGTTGCGGTGTTACTCAGTTCCAAATAAAAATTACAAACACCGAAAGAGCAACATTTTAACCAGTTACCAAGACTCAGTCAATCCACGACCAGCAAGCAACATCACACACAAAGTTGCAGCGTGCAGCTAAGCCACAACCGCTGTCAACGAAAGTCATCCCGTCAGTGGAGTACCGCAGTTGCACGGCATGTTTGCCAATGCACAATTCTGTGGCGGAACTTTTAACTTCAACATAAACTGTGTATCATAGTCGTCCAGTTCAGTTTTGATTCTGTCGTGGTCCCAACTAAACGTCCACGAGTTATTTATTCGGACAGTGACTCAGATTAGACGTCTGATTATTTTAATTTCAAACAAACAGTGACACTCGTTTTCCGAGCGCGTTCTACACTGACACGCGCTGCTAGGGCGTAACACTATATTGGAACATATTAATGGGCAATGGGGTTCTCCGACCTAAATTCCATCCCGGTTTGTTGCACGTTATTTCTTTAATATAAAATAATCAAATATGGATGCGGTGTATTCTGCTGTACTTTCACTCGCTTCGCTCATGAAAGTACGGCCGCAGGATACACCGCATCACTCGTGAAAATAACTTCCATACGCAACAAAAGCCACGGGCAGGGTGTGGGGTTCTGTCATATTATTAATCTAGTAGATACTATGAAGGTATCATGAAAGCATGATAACCTTAGTATTGTACATCTTTGTTCTGCTTGTAGTAATAATTTAATGAGAAAGTCTGAAATGGCAACAAGAAACCTTTTGTGTTGTGTAAAAGTTTGCTATATTCTGTGACACTAAAGCACTTCTCTGTGCAATGTATGTAAACAAAGGAAAGTATTCAAAGTTATATAGTATGACATGTCAAGGTTGGTGATGTAGTTTACTCAGAATAAGAGAAACTAGCGTGGATATGTTTTGTAACAAATACAGATACAGTTTTTTATATAATGGTAATTTGTTTTCAGTTCTAGATGTATAATATTACTTGATAACCCTCTGAGTGCCAAAGTCAACTTTCATCACACTTCACAAATTTTAAACTCACATAAATTTTTATTTAATTTTTCCAAGATTTTAATCAAGACATATAGCCAATAAGAAATTATGTCCATTTGTTTCAAAATTATCCCACAAAATTTGAAAAAAAAATTATCCCCCAAAAATATGGTGGTCAGAAGGTTATTCCGGGTAGTATAGTCTCAATAATTTTAGGAAAGAGTTCAGACAAACCAATATCGGATAGAATAACATTTTAATAGGCTAGTATGGACATAATAAATTTATTCTGTAAAATACTTTAATTTAGCTGGAAATAATTTTTGGTGGAAAGACTTTTGGGGGTTTTGTATGGACAGGCATTTTGTTTTGTTTTTATTTTCACTGATTTTTGATAATTTTTAAATGTAGAATATAGGATAAAAGGTACTAGAATATTCGCTGCATTTTATTTTATATTCACTGTATCATACCTTCAGCGAAAATAAGGAAAATTAAGTCCAAGTGAGAATAAAGTATTTTACAGTACTACATTTTGGCATGCCCATTGTTCTAGGTGTAGAAGTATTGCTCATGTTTTATAAAGATATTCGTTACAATTAAGTTACAGTTATGTCATACATTGCACTTACTTCAAGGCTGTATTTGTGTCTTGTTTCAGTTCATTAAAGAATGCAATCTTGAAAGCATGTCTCACAAAAAGAAGCTAAGAGAAAAAAAAATATAAATAGAACAAAATTTCACTGATCATTGAATAAGGTTCACTACAATAAGGACTGATCAGTGTGAATTCATAACAATTAATATTAAGGTGTCAAATAATTATGAAACACAGAATATGTAATTAATTAATAGTTTACCTGATGTGTGGTCTTATTGAGGAACTCTTTATGTGCTTTGACTTTCCTGGCTTCCATATGGTAATAACCTTGTGCCAATTCATAAAAGGCATTCTCAAGTCTGAACATAAATAATGCAAGTTATTTTCAGCTTTCTTCCCACAAATAACGCTCAAACATGGTGACTACTTTACATATGAAAGTGATGTAAATTGTTCTTAGTTGCCTTGTCAATTTATTCTTTTGCTTCCAAGAAATCCAAGCAGGAAAATACTTGAAAGAATATGGTGTTTTTTCAGTGAAGTCATTTACTTTAAAGGCATCAGCTTTGTGGCCACTATTAGTGGTGTTCTCACTGGACGAAATAAGCGGTTCTCACAATGCCTTTTATTTGAGAACGTTGTTAAAATGTGTGTGTGAACAGAATACGCCGTTGTGGCGTCGTAAAAGGGGTGGACCAGATTCTAAACGCCGTTGTCACACTAGCTCTTGCACAGCGCAATATGCCGTGTGGACACAATACGACGGCCAAATGCCCTCTATCACTGACTTATTTATGCTTGTCATTACACAAGATGGTGTCAGATGTTACAGGTCGAATGACGAAATGGTCAGACGAAGAAACAAGATTACTGATATCTGCATGGAGAGAATTGAATATTCAAAGAATGATGGACGGAACGTCTAGGAATGCTAGAGTATACGCTGTGATTGCAGAAAAAGCGGCTGAAAAGGGGTTGGACAGGACGTCATTACAATGTCAACAGAAGATCAGAACTTTACGTATAAAGTACAGAGAAGTGACTGAGCACATCAACAGAAGCGGTAGAGATTAGAAAACTATGCCATTTTGGGATGAACTACAAAAAATATTAGGTGGAAGGCTAGCATTCAATTCGCAAACACAGGTGTTTTTACTAAGTGAGAACGCAAGAAGACAATTCAGCAGATTATCTAATATTTGCACACAAAAAAACAGTGTTAACACAGGCGTTTTCTAGACGTGTGAGAACGTACATTTTGTAGCTATAATCTAGTGTTGTAGGAAGGGCGTCTGTAAACTAAAATCAACAAAGATGCTACCACCCTGTATTTTGGGATAATAAACAATGATAATCGTACATAAATGCGTGTCTAAACCACTGCTGCAGGGGTATTAAAGGAAAGGTGGCTTTCAGTCTGAAAATCATATCTATGAAATCCCAGAGATTACAGAGATTAATAGGATGAATGCCCTTAATGCAATATTGACCTTGTTATTCCATCTGACAGCTTATTTGAAAGTATAATCTCAATATAAGTCTTGAAGTGAAATGTTCACTGCTACAAGAATACTGTAAAATACTTTATTTTCGCTGGAATTAATTTTCACCGAAAAGGCTTTTTGGGCGTTGTGTATGGAATTTATTTTCACTAATTTTTGATGAGTTTAATGTGAAATATAAAAAAAAAGTATATTTGCTGAATTTTATTTTCACAGAATCATCCCTTCAGCGAAAATGGCGAAAATAAATTCCAAGCGAAAATAAAGTATTCTACAGTATGTTATTTTGTCCATGACTCACAGTTTCATAAGGTGATCTTTTGGTTGTGTAATAAAGTTATCATTGTTATTATTATTATTTAAGCATGGTACAACAATTATTTCCTCTGTTCCATTTAAGAGAGTTTTTTTGCCACGACTTCCCCTATTGTGTGTAACTTTTAGTGAACTCTGAAAACAGCAATCAACTTACCTAATGGTATAGCCAAATAAATGATCACTGTGCGGCAATACAAACAACGACTTGGCTGATAGGTCACATGCACTGCATAAAGCTGCAGCTCTTTCTGCTGCCACCATGTCTTCACCTGCACATAACATTACCACAGAGATTATGGATTCTCATTTGAAATTTGGGGTGGATGGAGTGAATTTGTTTTGCTGCAAATATTATATTTACATATGCTTGCTGACAAATTTGTTATTAACTTTTTTTCGTAAATCTTTCCAATAATGAAAATTTATCCTTTTTCCTTTTACCCATCAAAATTTGTTTTCCCAAATACTCCAGCTCACCCCTTTTTTTCAACTGTTAAATTTCTTACTAAAATTCACTACTAGTAGACAGTTCATAGCATAGAGTAACATGAAAAAAGGACAATGAATGAGCTATCTACATGTAAACAAGGTTGATAATGATATTGAAATTAAAAGCATGATTAAAAAAATAAGTCATTGTTAATGATATACCGGTAGTCTATAGAGCTATGGCAAGAATCAACTCTCAATATCTTTGCTGGATTACTAGGTGAAAAAAAGTTATAATCTTACAAGATATTTTTTTGATATTGTGAATTCCTGACTCCCATTGCTGGGTAGATTACACATACACAAATAGAATTACTCTGTGTCTGACAGTAATTTGGGTATCAGATATTTAAAAAAAATAGCTTAATGGAAAATTTCTTGTTCCAAAATTAACCGATGAAATTATATAATTGATTGATTGATATAGTTCTGCTGTAAATAGCATTTTTTTTACCAAAAATATTCACTTAAATTAGAAAATTAAATTTATCGTCACAAAATTAACTTTTTATAGGGAATTTTGTTTATGTAACTGTGTTTTTACCTTTGATAAATAAAATCCTATTACTAACCATGTTTTTTATTACAATATTGCAACTTCAATAATTAGTTTCAAACCTTGAAGTCAGGGTGCAGTTTGTAATACGGGCATATGGTAAATAAGAAATATGGATGCTCAGGTGTTTTATCATGATTTTTTGGTGTTTATGCAACTTATGCAACATGCAACTTCACAGAATATTCCACACAAGCAATACATGATTACAAACATAAAAAACACAGAATAATAATATGATATATGACATATCTCTTTTTGGAGGATGTGGAGGCCCTGAAAAGGGCCGTTTGGTTTGTGTGTTTAGTCATTAAGACCATGGAATGTATGCATCTAGCGACTAAAACACGGTGAGAAACAGGTTCTCGATCTGCGGGACATCATTACGGCATATGTTCATTCGTCATCATTGTCATCATTGTCACTGTCAAATATATCAGCAATTTCATTGCCAATGCAATTTCATTGCCAATAGCATTCGAAACAATGTCTTCGTCATCAGTCTCCAGGTCATCATAAATAAGGTCGTCTTGAGTTCCATCCAAGTTGTTGGAGATGCCTGGTTCCAAAAATGATCACCGACAAACCTTTCCAGGATTTGTCAACCCAGTCCCGATCAAATTTTTACTGGAGGGTGAACTCCTCCTTCCTTACCCTCCTTCACCCACAAATCGTGCATTGCTGTCTTCACTGGCTTATTCACGCCAACGTCAAGAGGTTGCAGAATTGCGGTTAATCCTCCTGGAATCACCGCAATGTCTATGTTTTTCTCGGCTAGTGCGGCCTTCACTTTGGCTGTCAAATGAACAGAACACGAGTCCCGAACTAATAGCCGTCAACTATCATCATCTTGGCGCGGAAAAGTCATGCAAATATAGTCAAGGCAACCTAAAAAAATCATGTCATGAATTGCCGATAAAATCTAAGTAAGTATACAATTACATAGCTATTCTAATTAATATTCATAGTTGGTTCCAAGTCGCTCCATGACTCCACGAGACAAACATTGAGAAAACACTTGGAGTGTGGCTAGCATAAAATAGAACGCAGTCATTGCCCGCAAAACACGAGATGAAATAAATTTAGCGTTTTCTTGAAATGACTATTTACCTGGTTCATCAATGTAACCTTTAAGATGTACTTGAACTTGCACACTCGACTTAGATAAACACAACTGGTCATGCTTTCCTTTGAAAATGAGTACTGGCTGTACCACTTGACGTTGTAACTGCTAACCGGTTACACCATTCCCATTTTGCCATTGATTTTCAAACCACTGCATGAGGCCATTGTCGTGCTCGATGTCAGCAACTGAGCGGCCTCTCCCAGCGAGGTGTTTTGATGATTTAGAACGGATGGCAAGTTTGTCTTTCTGCTTGACCCTGTCTCGAACTTGTCTTTCATTCAGACCATAATGGTCGGTCGTTTCCCTTTTATTTCCCCACTCGATGGCAGTAGAAAAAACTTTCAACTTGAAAGAAACATCATAGGCTGCATGGCTAAAGATGAATGTGAAATATTTTCTTTTGGCATATTCATAAATAAACAGCCAGACGATAGCGATGTACTCAGGTTGAAACAGTGACTTTTCCATGGAAAATAATAGGTATTTAATGAGATTTTTGCATAGCATTTTCCCTAATAATAATGGAAAATTACTTGGTAGACTTCCTAATCCAACTGGAATGGGTAGCCAGAGTACGATGAATGAGAGCGATACACACTCCATTGTTTTGTAAAGGCACGAGATACTACGATGAGTTGTGTACATATCGCAGTAGACTTTCTGATTCAGCTGGTCATCTCACCAGACAGTGGAGTGAATGATTGCAATACACACCCTATTGTTGTGATATTTTAGGATTAAAGTATGCACGACTACCTGTAGATCATCAAAGTCTGTCTCTGTTGCGATGAATATGATACAAATGTTATTACTTTGTACACATGGAGACTACATTGTTGCATTTTAGGTGTGTGAATTGAAGCTTTTCGATTATCTCCCTTATTATTCAACATGACTTGAATCTTAGGTGACCCACCAGTAAAAAATTACATTTAAAATTTACACTGGAAATTGATCTAGTTTCAGTATTTGTGTTGGCTGTCTGCTCCAGGTTCCAGTGATCAGGCGCTTGCACATGCTTTAAATACCTTATATCATTCTGTATTTCATGTTTGTAATTTTTTTAATCCCCAAAATGGCAAGTGTACAATATTTGACCTAGACTTACCATTACCATTTTGAATCCTATTTTCTCATACAAAATAATACATGTAACAAAATCAGTACACTCAAACACACAAATAAAAAAATCATCTAAAATAATTCTTGATTCTAAAATAATTTTGATTTACACATTTTCATGCAGCCCTTTAGACCTAATATTTTCATGAGTTTAGAGACTAAATTAAATATGATAGTCAATGACACTGTTGTGTTGTTTCATAAAGGGTAAAATTGCAAAGTTTAATGATATATATAATTTTGTGGGGTCTTCTTTGTAAGCAAAATTTTAGAGCAAATTTTTTCCCACTACCCCAAAGACAGGGTGCGGTTTTTAATCAGTACATTTGCTTCTTTTTAATTTGCTCATGCTCAATTGCTACATTTTGGTCAATATCATGGGTGCGGTTTCTAATTGGGCTTAGGTTAGTTATTGGATTTTAACAGTATTAAATAATAATGATGAGACATTATCTTCTTATGGAATAGCAAACTCACCTGGTGGCAGTGGAGAATTTTTCTGAATCAAGACAACTGCTACTTTAGTTCCTCTCCCCTGTAAACTGTGTCTGTGAGATAAATACTCAGTGAAAAAAAATAGTGACAAATGTGCATAAAATGTGAGGAGTCTGAAAATATTTGTTGTTGTTACCCATAATACTATATTAGAATTTGATTCAAGTTGTAATCATCGCCATTGTCTATCTCCTAATCTGAATGCTTACCTGACTACTTCCACTCTGGAAGCACATTCCATTTGTTTCTCTTTCCACTGTGTCTCATCCCAGTCTAAATCAAAGAAGACAACCACCACAGCGGGTATCAAGTTCAAGTGTTTGTTCATCCATCCAGTTTTGGTGATCCCTTTAGGGATGTACCACTCATATGAGCTTCTCTGCAAAAAAAGAAGATTTATAGGAAATATTTTTAATATCAATATGAATGCTATTACACAATTCAGTGAAATGTACCCGGTATGTTATGAATGGTAATCCAATAAAAATGAGATGTACATTTTGTATATGTTAATTTTATGAAAGGAAAAAATTTATTTCAACATTCAAATGAATAATGAAATCATTTTTTTTTGTCATCAAAGAAAGTTTGCTTTTATTCTAATTTTTTGGAAATATTATATATACAGTCAAACCTGTCTATAAAGGATAGTCAGTGGACTGAGCCAAACTGTCCTTTATAGACAGGTGGTCTTTATATGAAAGTGGCCTAATTTATTCATTCAATCATGAATCTTAATTAGGGCGGATATTTTAAGGGAGATCATAAGCAAAACATAAAAACAAATCTACACATTGTACAATGAATAGATCTTTTTTAATAAAAGTCACTCATTTCCATCTGGATAATTACACAGTTTTACTTTTTTACTACAAATTATATCATGTAAATTCACTGAAACCAAGTCGTTCTGCCCTAGGATTCATTGGTGTATTTAATGCAGAAGAACGATTGTCAACGATCGGCCGCATTGGCGTTTCAGTTCTGACTTTCACACTCTCGCCATGCAGTCTTATTCCCCGGTCTCTTGCACATATTCCATCACAGGCAGTAATCAGTCCCATCCTTAGTATTGTCGATTGTACACTGTGACAAAATGCACAGGCAAACTTGCCCTTTTTGAAAAAACCAAACAAACAAGCATTAAAAATGAAGAAGCATTGGTAATGAACAAAATTTACCAAACTCATAACGATTGCTCCAACTCTTGATGTTGAATCAGAAACCGGAAATGAAACACAATGATCGGAACTATGATCAACAGTATGCACTCCCTATGGAGGGGGGGGGTTATCTAGTGCAAGAAATAGACAAGGGATGAAGGCTCCGGCGAGCTCCCATTTTTTTTAAACTGGAAAAAACAGACGAACAGAACGAAAAATAAAATCTATAAAAAATACCAGATTGAAGAATATTAGTTGCTCTTTCAAATTTCGCCAAAGCCTTACCTATATTTTACATATATCTGCAGAATAAATCAAGAAAACTATACAAATTGACCTCATTTGCGAATACTTAACATTTTTTTTTTTTTAACTTTTTCTCAACTTCACAAACCAAGTTGCGATGATCACCCCTGTCTATTAGCCCTAAAGATTGCGTACTCGGTAATCTGAACGTAACATATGGCCACTTTCCTGTTAGCGATTCGCAAGTAGCTATTGTCTTTTTGATGAGACCGTCTGATGGAAATGTTGGTGGTCGTTATACAAAGGTTAAAGTGTGAATAGATCTACAATAGGGTGTTCGCTGGTCGCGTTGGACAGGTGGTCGCTATATCCAGTGTCTTTTTTAACGTGTAAATTGCAAAGGTGTACTAAGGTGGTCGCCATGAGCAGGTGGCCGCTCTGCACAGGTGGTCGTTAACACAGGTTTGACTGTACATTGTATCTAAAAATATTGTGATACAGTGAAATCTGATAAAACAAATGACATTTCTCCATTGGCTTGCCTAATAAAAGTTTTCTGCAAACCAAACACATATTGCAATGCTGTATTGTGGGAAACTATTTTCCCAGCCAAAGTGATGAAGATTGTGACTGAAGTTTGTGTGTAACAGGAAGATGTTTACTTGCAATTATGGACGATATCGTTGCTGGATTTGTCAATCAGTATCTCACAGTAGTTACAATAGAGCTTTGAATCTTAAAACTTCATTCACACTGTAATTGGTGAATTTATAAACACTGTCCCCATTGTTATAAGTTTTGCCACATTGTAGATTAACAGTAAACTTGGTGTTCCAAAATATACATTACATACCAGTAGGTGATCAACGTTTTATTAAGACTTCGAGAAACATATTCATAATAATCAAAATATTCATTTAAAGTTAAATTCATGTTCTATTCTGAAGCAAGAATTGTCCTGTAAATATTTCACAAAGAGGCTCAACCGAGACAAATTTCAAGACTGACTGTGAAGTGACATTTGTTAAAAATGTTCCAAAATTTTGTAACGCTTTTCTTTCATGACTATCCCTGCCACCCATCATATAATTAATTATAAAAGGTAATTAAAATAGGAAATAAATATTTTTGTCAATGTCATTGTTCGCAAAAAAAGATGCCAATCGTGTCAAGTATGAAGTTAAAATAGTACAGTAACTGTATAATACTATATTTTAGTTGGAATTAATTTTCAATGAGAAGACATTCTGGCTGTTTTAGTTTATTTTCAGCGACTTTTGATTAGTTGAATGTAACATATAGAAAAAATGGATGCGATTTTTATTGGTTGATTCAGCAAAAATAAATTCCAAGTGAAAATTAAGTAATTTACAGCATTACTGTGACAGAATTGCTAAAATTAATGTATGGCACAATGTAAAATCATGAAACATGAACACTAGTATAATAAACTAATTTCTAAGATGACACAGAGATGAGTATTAGTTGTTTAGAAATGTCAAAAATTACATATGACAAGCACTATTTACGAAATAATATGGCAGGACTCCAGAAGACGTACCTACACTTTATGCAAATTTGTTTTAATTATGCTAATTTATTCATGACGTAGCAGTTTCTGTGCTCATGAATATTCATTAATTTGTGGGTCAATACATTTTAAAAGGGGCGATATATTATTTTTGGGGGAAGAGTTAGAAAGGGGGATCAGTAATCATTAGGGGGTCAATACAAAAGAAGGGACCCATTTGGTGAGCAGCCATGCTCCTCGTGTCTGTTGTTGCACGTGACCTACAGCTGTCAACTGTGTTCGTTCTTCGTCGACTTCGACTGCCTTCCATGTGAGGTAGTATTCTTGTGTTCTGTTTTTCTGACTTGAGTTTTTGAATTCGCTATTTATGTTTTTAACGTCTTTCATGTCTTTTGTAGGAGTGTCCAATCCGTGATTCTAACTTGCGATCTTTGAGTTCCCAGCACACTGTCTTGTTCACTGTACCACGAGTGTTTTCACACAAGAGATAGAATTTAAGTT